AGACCAGCCATGATGTATGGTTTAGAGACAGTAGCAATAGGCAGAAGACAGGAGGCGGAGCTGGAGGTGACAGAGTTAAAGATGCTAAGATTCTCTTTAGGAGTGACAAGAATGGACAGGATCAGGAATGAGGTCATTAGAGGGACAACACAGACAGGAAGGTTTGGAGAAAAAGCTAGAGAAGCCAGATTGAGATGGTTTGGACATATGCAGAGGAGGGACAGTGGATACATTGGTAGAAGAATGTTGGAGATGGAGCTACCGGGTAGGAGACAAAGAGGAGATATATGGATGCAGTGAGGGAGGACATGCAGATAGTTGGAGTCAGAGTAGAAGATGCAGAGAACAGGGTGAAATGGAAAACTTTGATTCGCTGTGGCATCCCCCTGAAAAAGGGACGAGCCAAAAGGAAAAGAAGAAGAAGACTAGTTTCATGTAAAACATTTTCAACATTTGACCAATCAGTTACCAAGTTAGTTACAGTTAGTCAGTTACTAAGTATATCAAACTAAAACTCACCATAATACTAAACCCCCATAGAAAGGGGTTGTCCTTTGGGCATCACCTGTTGTAAAAAAGTGGGTTGACTGTAAATGCGACTTTCTTGAGTGTTTGGTTACATAAAGGGCCATCGTCCGTCTCTCGTCAATGGGCATCTTCCACTTTTGAAAGATGTTCTTGAAATTTTTGTTGAGGCTTTTGTTTAAATAGCATTTGTAATGGACTTGACAGGGGAAGAATATGTTGGATGTTATATATGTAGGTATAGCTTTTTTGGTGTGATTCTTTGGTTCTAGATCCTCAATTCTCTCTTTTAGTGTATGTCGTCTTGGTGTTTCGGACCTGGTCGTTTGGCTTTTCTTGAGTATTTTTTTAGCTAAGCTTAGCTAGTTTTCAGGCTAGTGGTTTGTGGTTTTAATACTCACCTGATTAGCTGAGATCGTAATACTTTATTGTACATTTTTATTCTTGTTATCTTCCTATGTTTGACTTTGGTCTTTTATCGTCTCTGTCCTCAGGAGTCTGTCCAACATCTCTCAAATCATCTATCAGACATCAAACCCTGTTGACACTCAATATGTCGCTGCCAACGACCCACGTATCTCCACAGTTGCTGTGGTCATCATTGTAGAGAATAAACAGGAAGCGGGTGGCCTGCTGCGTCTCATGCTGGTTGGGCGGGGTTACACGAGTAAAGGACCTGGGGACGTCCCTCCTATTACAACTCGACGTCTCTACCCAGTGGTCGCACCTCGCAGGGCATTCTCTCAAGAGGAAGAGCTTGGTAAACTGGTTGTGGGAAGTTACTCTGAGTACAACAACCACTTTGTAAAGGCCATGATGCACGGCGAACACGTTTACTTCCTGTTCTCTAAAAGGGATATGTGGCACAAAAAAGAGTACCGTACATATGCTTCCCGGCTCTGCACCTCGGACCGCAGTTTCTACTCCTATGTAGAGGTGCCACTGGTATGCCATGGCGGTTACAACTTGGCTCAGGGTGCATGGCTGGGGAATCATTCTGGTGAAGCGGCCTTATTTGTGGTCATGGCAGCAGGACAAGCCTCCACACCTGTAGCAACAGGACGATCTGCGTTGTGCATATACAGAATGGTGGGGCTGGATGCCATGCTACGGCGGGCACAGGAAGTATGCTACACAGAGGGAGGGCGGGGCAGCAGCGGACAGGAAGAAGCCTACATCGAGTATGCCGTGTCGTCCAAATGCCTTAGGTTACCAAAGGTAAACACTCACTGTTATCTGCGTAAGATCATTGTGATGACCTGGTTTCATGTGGTGAATTGAATTGAATCACACCATGCCATCTGCTGGTCTTAAAAGAAATTACATAATCATCTCAACTAATATAAAGGGATAGCTCAAGTAATTTAAAAAAAAAATATTGTTAATATTAAAAATTAATATTGAGTCTCTCCTGAATTTTGCATGTGTCTCAGACAGCGTTTTTCTCATTTTCCATTGCATTGTCTAATCTTCCCCAAGGCATCCATGCAGGAGTATCCTTGCGGAGGTGAACACACCCCCAACCCTATCGCCAGTACTGTTCCACTTGAGGCTTCTCCCACCTTTACGTACAACACACTGCTGACTGCTGTTACCACGACAACAGAGGCTGGACACACAATCAGCTTCCTAGGAGACAAAGGTGGACAGTTACACAAGGTAAAGCCACTGAGTGACACAAACTGACCACAGGAGGCAGCAGTAGACGAGCATCAATCTCAATTTCCACTACTATTAGATTTCTAGATTACTGTTATATTTCCATATACTGTTTTATTTGTTTATTTAACCAGATCATATACTGTTTTATTTGTTTATTTAACTTTTTTAATTGTTTATATAGTTTTTAACTATTTATATACTTGTTCAAGTAAATACTTGTATAATTATGCTTATCTAGGGCAGTGGTGGCTTGGTGGTTAAGGAAGCAGATTTGGGGCCAGAAAGTTTCAGGTTCGAGTCCACCAGCTGCCAAGTTGCCACTCAGGTGCTCTGAGAGCTGCCCCCTACTCACTTTGGTGATGGGTTAAAAGCAGAGGTCACATCTATCTGTTTACTTATCGAATATAATCTCCTGCTTGCCTGAAATCTAAAATGTAGAAAAACAAATCTTAAGACATTGTGAGTCAGACACAAGTTCAACAGGACAATTTGCAGCAAAGTTTTCATGAAATAATAGGCTTACTTATCTTGAATCGCTTTGTTCCTAAATCCTAGTCCTCAATTATCCATGTCAGGTATTTGAAGAGAGCCATCTTCATCTGCTCGATGTTGAACAACAACATGAGCTATTCCATGCAAATTTGGATAACAGCTATCCACAGGAGTCTCCCAATCTCTGTTTTAAACCCAAAATGTAATTCCTTCAACTGCTTTGCAGGTGATGGTGCATTCTGATTGGTCAGGTGACCACTACAACACTGTTATGGTGGACAGTGGGAATGCTGTCACTGCTGACCTCCTGCTGGACCAAAGACAAGAACAAGTCTATGTACTGACCAGCAGTAAGGTAAGACAAGACTTGGGGACAAAAAGACAAGAAAATTGATAGTTATATCACTAAAATTCATAATTGTGTCCTGTCTCTCTTTTAGTTGTCTAAAGTTTCAGTGTCGTCCTGTGAGACACAGACAGACTGTCAGTCCTGTCTGGCTGTTAGAGACCCCTATTGTGGCTGGTGTGTCCTGGAGGGAAAGTAAGGAAGTCCATCTCTCCAACCTACCTGTATATCTATCTCTGTGTGTCTAATTGCTCTCTATGTCCAGGTGTTGTCGTAAACATCAGTGTAATCGCCACCATCGGACTAATCACTGGCTTTGGAGTTTTGAGCCAACCAATCATTGTGTGATGGTACATGATGTGCAGCCGGCAATTCAGAGCATCGATCAGCGGATGCAGGTATGGCTTTACTGATGGTGATGAAGATAATGGCATTGAGGAAGATGGAGACATTAGTGATAATGTCTCATGTCTCTAGGTCACACTTTCTGTGCTCCGGCTCCCCACTCTCACAGAGGTGGAGACAATGTCCTGTGACTTTGGGCTTTACCCACCACAGCCTGCTATTGTCATGGGAACCAATGTCATCTGTCAGTCGCCTGCACCAAAGCTCCTCCCACAAATACCTTCAGGAAGTGGTAAGTTCACTACATTTGGGTTCCAACGACTGGGACAAGAGGAAATTGACCGACTGAATTCACGTATATGAAATATATGTGTACTTAGTGGGTCAAATAATACACCAATTAGGCCAATTAACAATCGAAAGGAGCCATACCACAAAGGGGCGTGGATTACATCAAGTACTGTGATTTCCAGAGTATAAGTGTGTAACTAGCTGTGTTACAGGCACTCTTCGAAAAAAAAAAGCTTTTATTTTGTTAAAAGTGAAATTTAAAAAAAAAAGTAACATCTTTCTGTGTATATATCCCATGTTACATGTTACAATGTGGACACCTGCGGCTTATAGAGAAGTGCCTATATGTACAGTTTTTAAAAAGTTAAAATGTTAAATCTTCAGTACATCTGACGTCAACAAGGGTGATCAACCTGGGACCGTGGCACAGGTTTGGCTGTAAATACATGACAGATTCATTAAGGCAATCAAATAATTTAAGATTTTCTTAAATGTAAAAACTTGGCAAAAAAAACATCAATGCAAAAAAATATATATATTAGCAGTAAAATTTTTACTGCTAATATATATATGTACAGTTGTTTTTTTTCTTTTTAAATTGGGTGTGACTTATATTCAGGTACGCTTAATAGTCTGGAATGTGTAAATTGGGTGTGACTTATATTCAGGTAGTCTGGAATGTACATTACAGTACGGATCCCGGAGCTCTCTAGTCGATTCATCCTTGCATTTTAAGGGCCAAATACATTTTTTTATTCTTTCAGACGGACAACTGTTTATTTCCGTTTGAAGATACAATAAAATATGTTAACGCCACATTTTTAACCTTCCTGCTTCCAGATCACCTGATCCTGCCAGTGTCACTTAAGTTTGGTCATGTCACCATCGCCACAGGAAACATGACTTTTTATGACTGTGGAGCAGTGAGTCACCTGAATCAGAGTGCGCAGTAAGTCAGGAAGATAAAGAAGACGATAAAGAAATTCTGATACTGATGATGTCGTCAATGTTTATGGTGTTGAAAATGTCTTGCAGGTGTCTCTCGTGTGTCCTCAGCGTGTGGAATTGTAACTGGTGTCCTTTAGATCAACTCTGCACTAACAACCGCACCTGTCCTAGTAAACACATCATCCTTAACCAAAGAGTGAGATACCCTTTGTTAAAGTTCTTTTCGTTAGACACGTATGTCAATCTGCAAATCTCTCTTACCCTCTCGCTTTTTTTTTGTTTGTCTGTAGAACTCTCCTGGTCCTAGCTTGTGTCCTCTCATCTTTGCACTGCAGAGTTCCGCTCTTGTGCCAATGAGCCTGAACACCAGCGTGGTGCTGCAGGGACAAAACCTGGACTTTTTTACAGTGGGTATCTCTGACGTTTTGCCCCTCTGAGACACTGGGTAGTCTCAGTTCACTGCTGCTTACTTTTACAGCCTCAAAACAAACTCTAAAGAGGAAACCAGTGTTTGTGGACTTAGGTGTTTTACAAACTTTACAGTTATGGAAAAGTCTTACAGTGACCGGTGTATGGTTAGGTGGTTGGGTGAAATGTTTCCTGACCTCACGGGGCAGTCGTGGCTTAGTGGTTAAGGAAGCGGACTTGGGTCTGGAAGGTTTCAGGTTCGAGTCCACCAGCTGCCAAGTTACCACTGAGGTGCTCTGAGCATGGCATAGTCTCCACACCAATGCTCCCCGGGTGCTTTAAGTTGCCCATTGTTCACTTTGGTGAAGGGTTAAAAACAGAGGTCACATTTCATTGTGTGCTGTGTCACAATGACAAGTAGTTCAATATCCTTTCCTTTCCTTTTCCTTTCCTTGTGTATATCTCCAGGATGAAGCTTTATGCGTCTGCATTGTGGAAATTGAGAGAGTCGAGTTTGAACTGAAGGCTGAACAGGAGAAACACAACGAAACGCACATATTCTCTTGCAGTGCTCACAAGGTAAAAGGCACGCATGCTTTCTCAGATTTGCACGCACATGGAGCTGGCTGCCTCTCACTGTGTCTGTCTATAGTTCCAGTCTCCTCTACGTCAGCTCGAGTATTCAGCACCTGTATATCTGCGCATAGGAGAGAGACGCATTGACACATCTCCTGGTCTTCACCGTAAGGCCTCCTCACCTGTCTGACTGTGGGACCTGGTTTAGCTTGAGTGCACATGTGTTCTTAATCTTTTTGTGTGTGTGTGTATCGCTTTAGTCAAGTTGTACGACTGCTCCGCGGGCCAAACAGATTGCTCTCAGTGTTGGGCAGTGCCAGAGGAGTATGGCTGCGTGTGGTGTCCTGGAGGCTCCACCCCGAGATGTATTTACAAACATTTGTGTACCAGTGAACCTGCAGACACCTGCCCTGCTCCCAACATCAGTCAAGTAAGCCTGAGAATTGAAGAGAGCTTATTTATCTGTCTAAATGTGTACGTCTGGCAGTCTCACCGATCTGTTTGACCTGATCTAAGACAGGCATGGGCAAACTAAGGCCCAGGGGCAGGATGCGGTCCGTTCCAATTTTTTTATTCGGTCTGCCATTCGGTCTTTTCCAAATTATATAATTTATTTATAATAATACTTGTGCCTGTAATACCTATGTTTCCCCAATAGATGGTGTAGAAAATGATAAAAGCATTTTTTTTTAAAAAGAATTGTACTGTATTGATCCCATATTTAGGAAATTGTTGTGTTAGCAGCAGAAATGCTGGGGCAGTGGTGGCTTAGTGGTTAAGGAAGTGGACTTGGGTTCGGATAACAGTGCCAAGTTATCACTGAGGTGCTCTAAGCATGGCACCCCGGGCGCTCAAAGCTGCCCACGTTTCACATTTCGTTATGTGTGCAGTGGTGTGCTGTTACCATGACAAGTAGTTCACTTTCCTTAACAGGCAGCCCCCAGCAGGCGCATGACTTTTACATGTCATTTATCTTAGTTCACATGAACACTCTATCTATCTGTTCCTGACCCGCCCCCCTCTGTTCAACTTAGGACAATAGTGGGACAAAAAGCCGCGAGACAAAAAGTTTGCCCACGCTTGATCTAACACTAACTTTTGTCTCCTGTCGTGCCTGACAGTGTCATGTATCAGTCTAACTGTCTCCATCCGTCTTATAGACATTTACTTTACTTGTCTTTATCTCCCATCTCTTTCTGACTGTCTCACACACCTTTGTCCAAACAATTTGTCTGGCTGTCTCAACTGTCTTTGTTACAGTCTCACCTGGCTATCTGACTGTTTTACCTGTCTGTCCCCAGGTAATCCCTGTCTCTGGTCCGTTGGAGGGTGGAGTCTTGGTGACAATCACAGGTTCAAATCTAGGAATGAAGTTTGAGGACGTAGTGGGAGGAGTAACGGTTGCAGGAGTTCAGTGTCTGCCTCAATTTGAAAGTTATAAGATCTCAACCAGGTATATTAAGGACACACACCTGAACGACACAGAGATATTAAATATATATATTTTTAACAAATTTGTATTTTTTTTCCTGTGTGTCAGAATTGTGTGTGAACTTCAGCCCAGTGGGAAACAGAGGAAAGGACATGTTGTTGTTACAGTTGTTGGAACATCTTTACCAGGGCGATCATCCCAAATTTTCACCTATCAGGTCAGAGACTGACAAGTGTTATTTAGGTCTGGACTCTTTTTTGTTTTACTTTGCATTCCACATTTATTTCTATGAGATGTTTTGCCATATTCATCCTTTGGCTGGGTTTGGGACTTATACTCAGGTGCGACTTTTTTAATATTAAAATATATGATTTCACATGTTTGTTATTTTCACACTGACAGCCGCTAGAGGGCGCTCTAGACTTGTGTACCAGTATCTGCTACTCCTGTACCACTGAAGATTTACTCCGAATCGACTTATATACTACTCCTGTACCACTGAGGATTTACTCCGAAGCGACTTGTATACTTTTTTTTCCTTCTTCATTATGCATTTTTTTGGCTGGTGCAACTTATACTCTGGAGCGACTTATAGTCCGGAAAATATTGTACTATTTAGGAATAGAATTTGAGGGCTCTCAAACCTTTGTTGTAAGCTGAGCTGACGAGAACTGAACAATAAGGTTAGGTCAGGAGCTCTGTGCTACGGGCTTTAGTAGTTAAATTAAACTTCCTGGCAAGTACATAGTCTACAAAGCCAGGATTAGTTCCAGGATCTATATGGTATGAGATGCTGCTTCTGAGACCTTTCACTTGCCTTCTGTTATAGTGAGACAATTGTTAGAGTCCTATTATCTTTTCAGTTTTTTTTTAATTCTCATATTCTGACTTAATTTCCTATCTCTATTTTGTTGGAAACCCTATCAGGACCCTCAGCTAACAGCTCTAGTTCCTGATAAAGGTCCAGTTTCTGGGGGAACTAGATTGACCATCAGTGGACGCCACCTGCTGACAGGACAGACCTGTGACCTGAAGGCTTTCCTGGGCACTCAGCCCTGTCACATGTAAATACATTGAAATCGAGGTATGGCCAACTAATAACATTTACAGCTCTACTGATACATGTGTCCTCTCAGCATACAGGAAGTGTTAGATTCTCAGCTGCTCTGTCAGACCACCTATAGTCCCCATCCCCAGGATGTGTCTGTTCAGATTTTGTTTGGAAAAACAGTGCGCAGTATTCCAAACCTAAGCTTCCGTTACATGGAGGATCCAATCATCACTGACGCCACACCCTCTGAGAGTTTCTATGCGTAAGAACCAATCAAAAAGCAGACTAATTCAGCCACGTTTCACTAAAGGACTAAAAGGGTTCATTTCCTTTACTCAGAGGAGGACGTGTTGTCAAGGTGACAGGCAGGAACCTGAACGTTGTGCAACAACCAGTCATCTCAGTGTTGGTAGAGCCTGTGGAGGTCCAGAGAGTGAAGCGGAAAAAACGATTGGCTTTGTTGTCTTCTAAACAGCAGCTGGTTTTCAACAGTTCCATGAATACAGTGAGTTTTGTCTTTTTCCCTTTCCCAGTGTCTGTTTATTGCTGTCAACAGTTCCATGAATACAGTGAGTTTCATATACATGTCTTTTTCTCTTTCCCAGTGTCTGTTTATTGCTATCCTCCTTAAAGACGTTCCTCCTCTGTTTGTCCCTCTTTACCTGATTGTCTCCAAGGTGTCTGAGCGCTGCTTGTTGATGTCACCAACTCAAATGAATTGTCTCACTCCAGCCGTGGCCTCACAGGTCAGAGTGAAGGATGTCTGGTTTCAGTTGGACAACGTAAGGGTCCGCTTTGAGAGCATCAAGGTACTTGCGATGTCATTTGCTTTTGACATCCTCAACATCTCTTTTCCATTCTCATTTTATAAATACGTCTCTCCTTTTTCTTTCCCTCTATGAACATGTCTCTTTCTATTGTTACTGTCTGTCCCTCAGGGTAAACGTTTTTCCTATTATCCGAACCCAGACCTTTTCCGTTTGAACAGAGACGTTCCAGATACTCCATATCGTTTTAAACCAGGAGGAGTGATCGCTGTTGAGGTAACAAGGATGAGGGCGGGTTGTCTGTTGACATCTTTTTTTTGTGTTTATTGCTTTAGTCAATTTGTAGGTGGCCAGTCGTTGGGCTGTGCCAGAGTAGTATGGCTGTGTGTGGTGTTTAAGATACTCCACCACCGAGATGTATTTACAAACATTCATGACTATCACTTTTGATTGTGTGTTGCTTAGGGTCTGGACCTGACCAAAGCCATGTCCAGACAGGAGGTGAAGGCTCGCCTGGGGGACCAGGAGTGTGAGGTGAAAACTCTGGACAACACTCATCTCTACTGTGAACCTCCTGAAAATCAACCAGCCAGTGCGGACGATAGCAGCCCATTGCCCAGCCTAAAGGTGGCACGCTGACATGTATTCTCGACGGGGAAATTCTCAAAGGGAACAGTTTTAACAATGCCTGTTTTTCTCTTACCTGCCTATTTGTCAGGTGTTGTTGGGAAACCTCGAGGTGGATCTAGGACTCGTCCAGTATGACAGTGACACACTTCTGACTCCTTTCCCATTGGCTGCTCTGATTGGTTTAGGAGCAGGGGCAGCTGTGATCATCCTGTCAGTGCTTGTTGTCATCCTCATGTACAGGTATCCGTTCGTACCTTTATGTGCTTTATGTGTATCTACTTGATTGTCATTGAGTGTCTTAACCATTTGTACCTGCCTATTTGTATTTTGTAAGTTGTCTCTTTTTCCATCTTTAGGTCTCACTGCATTGGTAGTGTTTTGTCGAAGTTGTTTTTTTTAAAAGATATTCTGGAGTTGTTGATCCTGTGTGTTTGTGTGCGTGTCTGTGCATCAATGTGCGTAGGAGAAAGAGTAAACAAGCCCTCCGAGACTATAAGAAAGTTTTGCTGCAATTGGAAACATTGGAGATCAACGTGGGAGATCAGTGTCGCAAAGAGTTTACAGGTACAAAAAAAAAGAACAGAAGCACACAGACACATGCATACGTAGAGACAGATATATAGAACTTTGTTAATCCCTCAGGAGCACCAAAACAACAGGAATAACATTACAGTGGAGTTGGTTTGCGAACTTAATTTGTTCCTAATCGAATTTGCGTTTTCCCCCAATGGAATCGATGTAAAATGGCTTTATCACAAATTATTCTCTCCGAAATACTGTTTCGGGCCAACTTCTTTCGTTGATCCAAATCAGTAGCAACTTTTCCACATCTTCTATTTCTATCTACAAATCTAAGCCATACCATAAACCAGATCTGAAACATCAGCGCCATTCAGAGAAAACCAGATCTGAAACATCAGCGCCATTCTCAGGCTTTCGTATCATCTTAGTTTCACTTCTATTGCTGTTCTCACTATTTTTCTTTCAGCTTTTCCACTTTCACTCAAATCCCAATGTGATTTATGAAATAAAAAAAAGAAGAAATAGCACAATGCAAGAAATACTGGCAAAATAACACAGGTAACACAATCTGAAAGTAGTGCTGATGGGAAAGATTGAACATAAAATCGCCAGGTATGCAGATGATACTCTTTTATTTCTCACATCGCCTAAACAATCAATTCCTGCTATTCTGGCAACTTTTGCTGTGTTCATTTTTTGTTCATATCTGGATACATAAGTAAATCTGAAGTTATGCCACTGGGGGCATTGAAAGTAACTGATATTGGAGATAATTTCTCTTTCAGGTATACCTCGGAGTGAAAATATCTCCTGATCTGAGTGAAATGTGGAAACTTAATTTTGCTCCAATCTGTGCACAAATTAAAAGAAACTTCCCTTATCAATGATGGGACAAATCAGTTTAATTAAAATGAATGTCCTCCCCTGCCTCCTGTACCCTCTACAGATGCTAACCTTATACAGTTCCAAAAAAACAAACAAACCAGGATTTAGAAAAGGCACTCAATACTAAACCAAGACTTAAAATATTGCAGTTTCCTCCAGTCAATACTCGTCACTTTTGTATTATTTATATTGTAAGTCTTTGCTATCCCCTATAACTCAAAATCCTGACTTCCCTGCTGGTGGAGATTCATCCGTGTTTTCTTCTTGGTGGAACACAGGAATTCGTACAATTGGTGACTTAATTAAAGACAACATCTTAATGTCCTTCCAACAACTTAAAGCAACATTTAACATCCCTCAACAACATTTTTTTGCTTACTTACAACTGAGACATTTTATATCCGCCCAGGTCACATCCTTCCCTACTGATGCTAACATGGAGCAAACAAACCAGGATTTAGAAAAGGCACTCAATACTAAACCAAGACTTAAAATATTGCAGTTTCCTCCAGTCAATACTCGTCACTTTTGTATTATTTATATTGTAAGTCTTTGCTATCCCCTATAACTCAAAATCCTGACTTCCCTGCTGGTGGAGATTCATCCGTGTTTTCTTCTTGGTGGAACACAGGAATTCGTACAATTGGTGACTTAATTAAAGACAACATCTTAATGTCCTTCCAACAACTTAAAGCAACATTTAACATCCCTCAACAACATTTTTTTGCTTACTTACAACTGAGACATTTTATGGGAATGCAAAAAGATCTCTACATATTGGAACCATATTTCTTCGGTAATCGGTGGGATTTTCAAATTAAAAATAAAGAGAAAGATCCAGGTGTCTTCCTTCTGGACTTTACCTCTAGGGAACTAAAAATGCCTGCCACCAACACTGAATATATAGAGGATGATTGGCAGAGCTCATTATGTATGATTAAGTCTACATTCACATGTAACGGATTAAGGGAAACGCAATTTAAAATAATTTACAGACTCTATATGACTCCCGTTATTTTACATATAATTAATCGCCCTTTCTCTCCTATTGGCATCAAATGTGAGTAAGAGAGAGAGGAACATATTTCCACTGCTTTTGGGAATGCAAAAAGATCTCTACATATTGGAACCAGATTTCTTCGGTAATCGGTGGGATTTTCAAATTAAAAATAAAGAGAAAGATCCAGGTGTCTTCCTTCTGGACTTTACCTCTAGGGAACTAAAAATGCCTGCCACCAACTGTAAGCTTCTGGAGAAACTACTCTTGATAGCCCGAAAATGCATCTTGCATAAGTGGATAAAAGAATATCCACCCAATATCATCCTTTGGTACAAGGAGGTTTTCAATACTCTACCCCATGAAAGGCTGCATGTAATTGTAATGAAGGAGAAAGAGGTGTATTTCTTAAAGATTTGGTCTACTTCTCTAAATTACATACTGAGAGATTTGCTTTTAAAACGAGATCGTTTTTTCCAAAACTTCCATGGCCGCCTTGTAGCTTGTGGATTCTGCATCATCACAGTAGCTCGGCTTTTGTCTTCGGTACTCTGATTTGGGCTGCACGCATTTGTTGCACATTTCTAAGGTTTAGTGTTACTGCGTACTGCTCTGTCTGTGTTATTTATTTTGTCTTTCTTTATATTCAATGGCCGTCTAGGGTGGGGTGGGTGGCTATGGGATTGCGGTGTTGTTTGGTTTCTGTTCTGTTAAACTTTAAAATTCAATAAAAAATACTTAAAAAAAGAATGGGGGGAAAAAAGGGAAAATGGCTCCTATTTAATATCCTTTTTTTTTTTTTGGAGCTGAACATTTTATTTATGTTTTTTAACTACATTTTAACATTACATTTTTCCATACCGTAATCTCCCTTTTGACCAATGTAGCTAGAGCTCTGATTCTCTTTGCCTTCCTTCTGCTTATGCAGACCTGATGACAGAGATGTTGGACTTGAGCAGTGATGTTGGAGGACCAGGGCTCCCCCTGCTGGACTACAGGACGTATGCAGAGAGGGTTTTCTTTCCTGGTCAGCAGAGAGCTCTGATGAACCAACAACTGGACCTGCCAGAGTCTAGGAGGTCCACAGTGGAACAGGGTCTACAACAGCTCAACAACCTGTTAAACAACAGGGTCTTTCTGACGAGGGTAAATACATGGACCTAGACTAACAGCTTGTCCTGATCTTCTATGATAGCCCATTCCTTGATCTCAGGTTTTAGACTCACCTGATCCTGATCCAAACTTGACCTTGGTTTGTCTTGTGTCTCAGTTTATCCACACTCTGGAGGCACAGCAGGGTTTCTCTCAGAGAGACCGCGGTTATGTGGCTAGTCTTCTTACTATGGCCCTCCATGACAAACTGGAGTACTTTACTGAGGTCATGAAGACCCTGCTGCAGGACCTGGTCCAGCAGTACGTGGCCAAGAACCCTAAACTTATGCTGCGCAGGTATGTCACAGGTCATACGAAGAAGAATTTATGGTCCAGACCTAAGTCCACGTGTCTAACCTGTTTGTATGTCGGTCTTCCAGGACAGAGACAGTTGTAGAAAAGATGTTGACAAATTGGATGTCAATCTGTCTGTACTCCTTCCTAAAGGTAAATGTCCGTCTGTCTCTCCAACCCATCTCTTTCTAGCACAGAGGTTCCCAAACTTTCTCTGCTGGGGTCCCTTTTGTTTGAAAGGAAATAGTTTGCCCCCCACCTGGGGTCCCTTTTGTTTGAAAGGAAATTGTTTGCCCCCCCATGCCACCCCACCCCCAAAAAAAGGACACAAATGTATTTTTTTAGACTCATTTATTTCTGTGTTTACACACCTTCAACTTGTTAATTTAATGCTAGAATTGAAGACTTTGGTCTAGTGCTAACTGTTGTATCGAAGTAGCTTTAATCTGAGGAAGCCTCTTGAATGAGAGGCGAATATTATCATCAGATGTTCATTTTACACCACTGTCAACCAACCCGTTTGTTGCCTTTAGTCTCTTGTTAAACATTTACATCATTGGACAATATGCTGCACTACGTTTCATTCACCCCGCCACCCCCAACCCCCCAGCAATAGTACTTCTGCACCCCCTCCCCCAAAGGGCACCCACACATTGGGAACCTCTGTTTTAACAAGTATCCTGGTCTTATTCATGTCTCTCTGATCAATCAGGAAGTAGCAGGAGAGCCTCTCTACGTCCTCTTCAGAGCGATAAAATACCAGGTAGACAAAGGCCCGGTGGATGTTGTTACAGGAAAAGCCAAGCGAACGCTGAACGACAGTCATTTATTGCGCGATGACATTGACTACAGCGCCATGGTAATCACCATATCACAGAGACAGACATGAAAGACAGCTTTGTACAAGGAGAACAAGGAGCTCAGCCTGTTTGTCCCTCTTTCTCAGACCCTGAATGTCATGGTGAAGAACGGTGTTGAGGTTCATCAGTGTCCTGTTAAAGTCCTTGATATTGACACCATAACACAGGTGAGGTCAAAGGTGGTAAGACGGGTACCTATGGGCTGGTTGACTATCAGTCACCTCTCTCCCTCTCATCCAGGTGAAGGATAAGATCCTGGATCAGGTTTACAAAGGTGCTCCATTCTCCCAGAGACCAGCAGCTGATAGTTTGGACCTAGGTACGATTGCCTTTCTGTCTCTCCATTTGTCGTTCTTTCTCACTGTTATTTTTTTCTTACTTGTCTGCTGTCTGTTCAAAAGAGTGGCGTTCAGGTCAAGCGGGCCACCTCACTCTGTCAGACGACGACGTCACAGCGGTGGTTCAGGGTCGCTGGAAAAGAATCAACACACTGCAGCACTACAAGGTAGCCACCACCGATCACCAATCACCAATCACCAATCACATCTCTTCTTAGAGCCCTTCACTTCCTGTTCTCCTCAATGTTCCTTAGGTTCCAGACGGAGCAACAGTCGCTTTGGTTTCTCGCTGCCAGAGCTCAGGTGGAGTCAATCAGGTGTTCCAGACTGGAGAGAGTAAGATCAAGAACTAAAATCAGAAGAGTTACAGTTAAACGAATTTCAGATTAGAGATTGATGGTTTACTCTCGTCATAGAAACACCAATGCTTGAGGACGAAGAAGATGAGGGTCTGCGTCAGTGGCATCTTTTAAAAAGCAGTGAAGATCCAGAGATTCCAAAACACCGGAAGAGCAGCATGAGGGAGAGAGAGCGAGCAAAGGCAATACCAGAGATTTACCTGACCAGACTACTGTCCATGAAGGTAACACACAAACCTGACTCTCTTTTATGGTGGTAAGGTCCCTCTAATACTGTACTTACTCGTGTATTAGCCCATTCACGTATAAGCCGACCGCTGAAAATTGATCTCAAAATGGTGATTTAAAAAAAAACAAAAAAAAAAAAACTTGCATATAAGCCGACCATAATGTTTTCATTTCTTGCCGCGGTAAAATGTCTTACTCCTGTGCGCATCAACAAAGCATTAGGAAATGATCTTGGAAAACACAGTTTTTACGTTAAAATTGCAAAGATTTCGCCCATGTTTGTTGGCGAAATTCAGACGTGATTTTTTTTTTGCATTACTGTATAGCAGTGGTTCAGTTAAAATAATTATTAAATATCAGTTGTAGATTGTGTGGATTTAATTCATTTGTGTAATGATATTTTTGACGTAGATTGTGTGGATTTAATTCATTTGTGTCATGATATTTTTGACCATACGTTCGAGTTGGTGTTTATTATTGGTGATAATGTGAGCGATGGGAAATCCTTCGTTTTGACCTGTGTCCGTCTGTGTACAGGGAACACTACAGAAGTTTGTGGATGACGTGTTCGTGGCAATCCTTAGTACGAAGCATCTTCCTCCCATTGCCGTCAGGTTCTTTTTTGATTTCCTGGATGACATGGCAGAGAAACATGGAATTAACGACCCAGAGACTGTCCACATTTGGAAGACAAACAGGTGAGAATCTTTGTTGCCCGTCTGTGGGTCAGGGTGCACTATTTTCTCTAATCTGTCACTCTCTCTTCAGTCTTCCTCTTAGGTTTTGGGTTAACATCTTGAAGAATCCTCAGTTTGTTCTGGACATTCAGGTGACGGATAGCATTGATGCTGTCTTGTCTGTCATTGCTCAGACCTTTATTGATTCTTGCACCACATCTGACCACAAAGTGGGACGGGTATGACTGTCTTTCTGAATGTCTGCCTTTCTACCCTGTTTGTTTTTTCTTTGGTTTTTATAAAGGTGACCATGTGATATTTTCTGTCAAATCAGGACTCGCCGGTCAACAAGCTGCTGTATGCCAGAGAAATTCCTCGATACAAGCAGATGGTGGAGAGGTGCAAATGGATTATCACACTGTCACACACGTACTGTTGAAACACACTTATGTGGCGTATTTGTTTACAGGTATTACAGTGACATCCACAGCGCTGCATCTGGCTGTTACCAGGAGATGAATTCTACTTTGACTGAACTGTCTGGGGTCAGTGAACACACAAAACATCTAAACATGCTTTTGTAGTTCAGGCAATGTTTTGAGTTGAAGAATATTTGAATTGTACACTGCCTGGCCAAAAAAAAAAGTCGCCACCAAAAAAAAAGGGGCATACGCTCTAATATTTGGTCGGACCGCCTTTAGCTTTGATTACAGCACGCATTCGCTGTGGCATTGTCTCGATAAGCTTCTGCAATGTCACAAGATTGATTTCCATCCAGTGTTGCATTCATTTTTCACCAAGATCTTGCATTGATGATGGTAGAGTCTGACCGCTGCGCAAAGCCTTCTCCAGCACATCCCAAAGACTCTCAATTGGGTTAAGGTCTGGACTCTGTGGTGGCCACAATCCATGTGTGAAAATGATGTCTCATGCTCCCTGAACCAGTCTTTCACAATTTGAGCCCGATGAATCCTGGCATTGCCATCTTGGAATATGCCCGTGCTATCAGGGAAGAAAAAATCCATTGATGGAATAACCTGGTCATTCAGTATATTCAGGTCGTCAGCTGACCTCATTCTTTGAGCACATACTGTTGCTGAACCTAGACCTGACCAACTGCAGCAACCCCAGATCATAACACTGCCCCCCACAGGCTTGAACAGTAGGCACTAGGCATGATGGGTGCATCACTTCACCTGCCTCTCTTCTTACCCTGATGTGCCCATCACGATGGGTCCCCACTATCCTTCCAGTTTTTAATAATGCATGCCAATGATTTGACCCTTCTCAGACAGACTAACATCTTTTCCACGACCACGGGATGTGTCTTTCGACATGGTTGTTTAGGAAATGACTTAATAACAACAATAACTTGTTGCCAGCTGAAAGATAATCACCCATGCAGTAATTATCCAATAGGAGGCTCCTACCTATTTGCTTAGCTAAATCCAGGTGGCGACTTTTTTTTTTGGCCAGGCAGTGTATTGTGTGCAGTTATGTGTGTCAACACTGAGGAGTGTGATGTATTGTAAAATGGTTTGAAATCAGCAATCTACGGATATGTCGTAAAATACAAAGTCTTTTGACTTATTTATCACCTACTACAGTCCACCTCATTCTATTAATTTAGATTTTATTGACAACTGTGCAACTTATTGCTGGCCTTATTTTCCACTAACAAATATGTCTGGATCACTGACAAAAAAGAGAAACAAAAAACTACAGTGGGCAATGTCAGTGCAAAAAAAAAAATGTGCATACTGCATCTGAAGTAAAAGTATTATGTCTGCCTTACAGAGTTTTGCATCTGAGATGAATAGCCTTGTTGCTCTTCATGAACTGTATAAGTACATTAACAAGTATTACGACCAGGTAAAACACACACACACACAAACACACACGCACACTCATTCATAAATACATACAACGCTGGACCTGTCCGCCACATTTGTATCCGTCTCCTCTCTTTCAGATTATCATGTCTCTGGAGGAGGACAGCTCAGGACAGAAGATGCAGTTGGCCTATCGGTTACAGCAAGTTGCATCTCTGGTGGAGAACAAGGTCACCGACCTCTGATGACCTTGGTGACCTGTTGTACTTGTTGTGACCTTCAGAAAAATCGACTGAAGAATCTTAAAAAAAAAAAACCAACACTGGACTTTTTTTTTAATGTCTTCCTGTTTATACTGTATACTGTGTGTGTGTGTGCGTGTGTGTGTGTGTGTGCGTGCGTGTGTCCGTGTGTGTGCGCATGTCTTAGACAGCTGCCAAACAGTCTGACTGACTGACTGAACATTACCATAACCTGAGCTCAAACCTAAACTAAACCAAACGTGATTGGAGCTAGTTTAGTCTGGGATTTTAAAATGACAATCTAACCAATCAGATCAGGGAACAGCCTCTCCTCCTGCCTTGAACTACATTTGCCAGTATTCCTTGCTCTCTGCACGTAAACAGACTGCACAACATCAACCTTTTTAATGGGAAACATTTATTTCTTATTGATGTATTATTAGGGAGCAGAACTATCTTACTACTGAAACCAGCATAGCCAGTACATGCAATGATAACAATGCATTATGAGAATAATCTAACTAACACTGACTCTATGGCACTTTCATGTGGATCTTGGGAGTTTTTTTTTTCCCTTACCTTCAGTCTGACTCCATTTTCTGTCCACCTCAGCTAAAGAAGAACGCCAACTTTGAATACCAGCCTTCTAAACTTCCAGGTCTAGTCCTAAATAACAGTCCAGGTTCTCTAGTTTAAAACGTTTGGGGTGAACTTTTGAAAAAAAAAAAAAATTTTTTTTAAATGCATAATTATTTTTGTACATTGTAAAATTGAACCAAAATAATGTGTTATTTTACTGATGGAATGTTTAAAGCACAAAGTATGAAAAATAGAAGGAGCAGAAACTAGAGTCAGAATT